CTGGGCCTCACAAAGTGCTAGGATCACAGGCATCAGCCAAAACTATTTGAATACACAATAGAATTAACTATTTAAAGTTGTGCTATTAGCAGTGAGTTTTAATAAAGACCAAAAGAACAACTTGAAGTGTGGGCTGGGATTTTCAGGGAAGGAACCGTAAGGGGACAGGATGTAAACTGATTTGAAATATAAGCAGTATTTGGAATGGTGCAAAGTCATGGCAGAAGGATGTGAGGAACAGTGAGGAGGCACCCTTCTTTTACTAAGCACATGAATCATATACAATGAAAGAATACATTTTATACTACATTTTATAATTAGCACAGGAAAAAAACAATAGGTGGACACAGAAGGACTGACTGCTAATTCTCACATAAAACTAGATTTGAGGCTAGGTTGAGTCAGGAAAAGTAGAAAATGCAATGATAAGGAAAGAGAATTGGGCAGCAATGAGAGAATCAACAGTTTTGTTTCCCTTTATTATTATTATTCTAGTCACTGGGAATCACCAAGAGTCTGCTTAGCAGTTTGTCTCACAACAACAGTTGTATTTCAAAGCAGAATAAAAGTAATCTCAGAACGGAAAATAAAGGTTGGAAAGAAGATCTCCTTAAGAAAGGGAAGATGTGGGGTTTAACTCTGTTAATTCAAAATCTGAGGGTCTTTTTCCAAAAATAAAGCATAGAAAGCAACAAAGAATGGATACATGAAAGGGAAGAGAGATATGGACTACCTGCCCTTAGTTGTGTGAACCTCATGCCTATGTAAAATTCTTTCATGGTAACCAAAAGAATTGACATTAAAAGTCTAGGGAGAAACATTACCAGAAAACTGAGGTACTGCATGGCAGGAGAGAGCTCACGTAACCCTAGTCTGGGTGGTTTCAGGCATGGTATAAACAACTAGGCCAACAAACTGCACTAGACACAGAAATTAGTTGAATAAACTCATCCACTCCGATTTCATTTCATATATCTCATGAGAAACTAGAGGACAAAAAAACTTCCAAAATTAACAAAACAAAGTTTACCCTAGCCATCAGTGCCAATGAACATAAATGACTGCCTGAGAGTTATATTAACAAAACAATTGATCAGATGAATTAAACTAGCTATGGGAAATATACACTCTATACTTAGGTGCACATTTATTTTATTTTATCTTATTTTATTTGGAGACAGGGTCTTGTTCTGTCATCCCGGCTGCAAGTCCAGTGGCGCAATCATGGCTTATTGCATCCTCAACCTCCTGGGCTCAAGCAATCCTCCTGCTTCAGCCTCCTGAGTAGCTAGGACTACAGATGTGTGATACCACGCCCAGCTAATGTAGAGAAAGGGTTTTTCCAAGTTGCCCAGGCTGGTCTCGATCTCCTGGACTTAGGTGATCTGCCCGCCTTGGCCTCCCAAAGTATCTGGATTACAGTCATGAGCCATCAAGCGTGGCCTTAGGTGCACATTTTAAAAATATGGAATTTAGAATGGCCAGACAGAAATAATTTTACTTAAATTATTTCAAGCTTTGTAAAACATACTATAGGCTTCTGAATTTGTAACAGAAATCTTTCATTAAAAAATTATGAATTAATTGATTTTTTTGCTTTACTATCACTTGGCAGACATAAACAAGACTGTAAAGATTATTTTAGTAACAGCTGAAAAATTAAGTATTAAAAGTCAAAATAAACACTTTTTTGGAGGACCAATGATGACAAAGAGAGGGCAATAAGAGGAGCTTTGCTTCAGGTTCAAATTTTGCATTATTTTGAAAGGTAATACAGTCCATCTTGGTTAAAGACTGGAAAAATGAATGAACATGTACAGAACAGGGAAAGCAGAAAAGTTTTTCAGTTTCTTTCTAATAAAAAAATCTAGACATACCAATATTCCAATAAACGGGTTTAAAAAACAATAGTGTACAACATAAAGCACAAATCCTTTTAAAATCATAATGAGGACAGTATCACACATGGAAGTTCCAGACTAGTACAATTAGAAAGAGCTGAAAACATTCACATATATAACCTGAAAAAATTATATAACTGTTTGCTTATGCCTAGAAACAAACCATAGGCTAGTAGAATGTGAAACTAATTTCATTAATTTTTATTTTCACAGATGATAAATAAGGCATTTAACTTAGGAGTCTTTAAGAAACATTTTAATAAAACATACAGTTATGTCTGGTAGCAACAGAAAGGTAAGTTAAATAAGTTTGAAATGATAAGCAACCATGTAAGATTCTCTAAATCAAATTTCAATATTAGAAAAATATATAGTGAAGAAAGTATAGAGGATACTCTAATCAATAATTCATGACACTAAAGTACACTGAAAAAACATTCATGATGTTCCACTTTTTCAAAATGTGGAAATTACCAGAAAAATATTTTATATTAAAATATACAAAGTTGGTACCAATCCATGAGGCTTCTTAATCAGATTCCTTAAGACAAGTAGTTAAAAGACACTGAGAGCTTATACATGAAGAAGCACAAACTATTCATTAAAAATGTTCCATTCTATTGCTAATAAAAGAAATACAAATTAAAGCAAGGCATCAAATACTAGAATTTATATCCAATATTGAATCAAGCTATGGAGAACAGGTACATTCAAAAGCCTTGGGTCACACACATCTTTTGGCAATGATAAAAGAGCTATCTGATCACTTGCACCCTTTGGCCCAGTAATTCCACTCTGAAGAATTTATCTAAGCATATATCCCAAAGGGGAAAAAAGTATACCACATTGCTTTTATCAAAAACAATGGAAACAACTCAAATGTGCAATAAACATAGAATAGTTAAATAAATTATGATATGTTACCCAAGGAGAATAACATAGCTATTAAAAACAAAGGAGTGCATTCTTATGACAAAGCAAGAATGCATATCAAAATCTTCTAAGGTTAAAAAAAAAATGGAACATGATATAAAACATTACTAACACATAAAATGTTATGTTTACATAATACAGATTGAGTATTTTGAAAATGGCTTTAAAAAACTTTACAGATTTTTTACTGTAATGCTAATAAAATTGGTTGGAAAAATAAAAGTGAAGACTAACAATTTTTGAAGTCACCAATATTTCTAGGAGAGTTTCTTAAGGTTTGGTATAAGAAATATTTCTATTTAAAAAAATGGTGTCAAGTTTCCCTGGAAAGTCATTTTTGGGAACTGTGAAGCAAATCAGCCTTTGCATAGTAATATCTATAATATTATGATAATATTTCCAGTGGGAACTCGTGTTTTCATAGCTGAAAAACTTTGTTTTGGTAAGCTGGAACAGAAAGCTGCAGACTATACTGAAATATGTTGGAATGAGCTTCTGATGATCAAATATTTCAGTAATAAAAATTTGGCTTTTAAATTCAACTCAAAGCACTCTACTATTTTAATCCTCAACACTTTAATACTAATGATAAAAGACTAATGTGTTTGGCTACTATAAATTAATCATCTTTAAGGCATCAGCACATCTTATCTACTGTCCACAGAGATCTGTAATATCTATTCCCCCAAAATAATTTTTGTATATTCTTTTTGCTCTGCTCATTAGCTAAGCTGTTGCTTCAACTCTGGGCATTTTATTAAGTGACACTCAGGTAAAGTGGGGTTCTTACGATAAAAGTCACAAAGCAGGATTACAAGACATGTTCTCTAAAGTTCATTATTTTAGAACTGATATGAGAGTCAAGAATTTTAGCTTTTTAAATATTTCACCTAATTCTTCTATGAATAATGATGGAAAGCTTTCAAAATAAGTGACATAAAAGTGGGCATTATATAGTACATGTTCTCTACTAAAGCATTACTATCATAATTTTTTTACCCCCAAAAGGGGGGAAAAGCCCACAAAATTTGTAAGATATAACTAATACCATTTAAACAAATAATTCAGTAAAAAAATCCTTATCATTGATGAACTGACACAAAGCATTTAAAATAATTTCCCAGTGGAAGTCACCATCCCTTAACTTCCATCAAAACATGCTGTATCTTCTACTGAAAAATATTTGTGGAAATAAAATTACAAAGCCCACACTAACCTGAGAGCTCTGTACACAGGGATGGCTCACTATAAGGCTGCCTCCTAAGCAGCATGAAGTCCGTGCCAGAAAGCCCCATTGCTACACTAAAAAAGTACAGTTCATATGAGGTTAATTCTCTGAATTCTCTACCTTTCTATTAAGGCGAATAAAAGAAGACAGAAAGTACTAGTGAATAATGCATGCTGAATCTCTGAAATTATCTTAGTAAAGGCTAAAATATCATTCTTAAAAACAGATGGGCAAAATATTTAAGAAATAAATTATTCTAACTGCAGTGCCAGAAGAAAAAAAAATACTAGACATTTTGGTTATGTGAACTTGCTTGCCTGTAACATACTTAGTCCATTTATAATGGTGTCTATTATTATAAATAACCTCATATATGGAATGTATGTAGGCAACACAACAATGTGTTAAGAAATGAAATGCCTGTTTCCAATATGTTCTACTTAAATATTTGTAAATTTTCTTTACTAAAGTTGAGAGGTTTCTATTGCATTTTTAAATGCTAGATACCAATGTCAGATATAGCTGTGAAATATTCACTAGATTAGAATTTTCACTATTTTCTTTTATCTTTGAAATATTTATCGAGAACTTACTAAAAACAAGGTTTCTGTTTTCAACAACGCAATTTCTGACAGAGGCTACGTTTTCCTCCTTCTCTAACTAAAAGTGGATTTAACCTCTATTTTTGTGTTGTTTTAATTTAACATGGCACTACAGAACAAAGAAGAAATAATAGTTTTTAGAGACAGCTACTGTGGCAACTTTTGAAAGTGAAAAAAATAGTGAAAAGAAGTCATGTCATTTTCCCTACCTCTAAACAACAGGCAGATTAGATAATTTGGCAATTTTTCTAAGAAAACATTGGAGAAAAATGCTCTTCAGTTTCTGGAATATTTTAATTGTTAAAATTTAAATTTGGAGTATAAAAATTTACTTACTTCCAAGCTACCTCTCTTTATTGGATTCAGGACTAATAATTTCTTCAGAAGATTTTCACAGTCTGTGGACATGTAAAAGGGAATACGGTACTTCCCTCGTAAAACTCGCTCTCGCAGTTCCTTAATGAAAGTGAAAGAAAGCACTTGTAACTGGTTTTTGAAATAATCATACTTGGGGATAAAACATTAATATAAAATTTAGCTGATACCTTTAAATTCTGGCCATCGAAAGGCAAGGAGCCACTGACTAATGTATAGAGAATGACGCCCAGACTCCACACATCCACTTCAGGCCCATCATACTTCTTTCCTTGGAAAAGCTCGGGAGCAGCATAGGGTGGGCTTCCACAAAATGTGTCCAATTTGTTCCCAACTGTAAATTCATTACTAAAACCAAAGTCAGCAATTTTAATATTCATATCACCATCAAGGAGAAGGTTTTCAGCCTAAGAGGAAAATAATAAAAAGAACAATGTAAAAAGCCTACATAAAATAAAAATATTTGTTAAAAGTGTTTTAGCTTCCAAACTTACATCTCGTCTCTCATTTATAAATGTAGTATCAAATTTAGAAGCCCAGTATGGTACTTCAATGCATTCTGAATTACATCTATATAAGACTAAATTTTAACGCTATAAAAGGAAAGCTCTCTTTATATGCATATATGCAACTACTTAAGAAAGGTTATTTAAAACCCATTTTCTTTCATAGGTTATTTTAAACTCATTTTTTCCCTCATAGTCAGAAACATCCTAGAAGTGTACCTTAGTATGACCTACTCTAAAGAGCACAATACTAATCCATCTTGGCCTTAAACCAACATGATTACCCAAAGGAGCTCTATTTTAATAGGGTATTGTTGGTTAATGCTAGGCTCAAAGGTATATCTACAGTAACTGCCTGTCAGGGGTTCTGTGACTACTAATTCATTCCTTTGTCCTCTCTTGTAGAATGCTTCCTCAACAAACTACTGTTTCAGTAAAACATGACCAAAAAATACAGCCTCTATTATATCTTGTCTGTTTTAAGCTTCTTTTTGCTGTTTTAAAACTAGATTCTCTTCTTGACGTATATTTTACATAGAAAGCAGTGAATTTTCCATGTTTTGAGATGGTTTTCCAAAATCCTAAAGCAGAATCACTCAAAGACAATATTTTACATGTCCCTTTTGTAAACAGAAGCAATTCAATAAAGGACTTGTTTTTGTACACGTTTTATTTCAAACTCTATTACAATGGATGGATAGACTAACAAAGGTATAGGTTACTTTGTAGATGTGTTTTATCAGGTTTCAAAAAGAAATAAAATTTGACTAAAACAAAAATCAGATTTCTCTATATTACTAGAAGGTCCAACAATCATAAGAGTCAAGCACTCTGCCCATCATATATCTCTTCCCTCCCTACCTGCCACAACCTTTCTTTTCTTCTTTTTTGTGGTATACTAGCTTGGGATATTTGTTTTCATTTTATTTTGGAAAATGCAGATACACCTAGAACCCAAAATATACAATAAAAATGGGGTATCATATTATTACATAAATACTATAAAAGCACATACATTTGGAAAAATTTATAATAGATTGTAACATTTTTGAACTGTGACAAAACCACAGTTTTGATGTTCTGATGTAAGGGCCTGGTCACTGTAAATTTCTGAAGCTGTTTTTGAGCAGGCTGGACTTTCTCTAAAAATGTCTGGATGGATATCAAAGTATCCAAGCTGCCTCAGAAGAGAAGAGCTACAAGGGGTTCTGCCTCAGAAGAGAAGAGCTACAAGGGGTTCTGAGGTCTCCTTCCAGGAGTGTATAGGAAAACTCTCTCTACTGGACTGGAGGGAAAACACAAGGTTTTGAACATTATTATTTTTTGCAGATTTTTTTCATATAAGAAATGAGATGATAAACTGGGAGTTAAACACAGAAGCAGGGGAACAGTTCTTTTCTTTCTCATTCGTCATGGAAGTGATTCCCCTTAAAATAGCCAAGGAAGGAAATCAAGAAATAGAAAAATTGGGAGCAACAGAAAATTCATAAGCTCTGAAAAATGGAGCTAAAATACAGAATTAGACTTGACTTTTGACAACTGTTTAGGATAATATATTCAAACATAACCCAAACTGGTGCAAGTAGTTGATAAAGGTGATGAGGAAAAAAGTGAAAAAGAAAAATAAGACTCTTACGTACAGGACAATGAAAATTAAATTTGGAAGATTAGAGACAAAAGGAAAAAAACATGTAAACATTTTAGTCCAGGGTCCTTCCACTTTCATTTTTTAAACAATCTATGTGGCACAACCATTTATTGACTAACTACATATTTCTTATTCCAAAGTATGCTCGTTTATACTATTATACGCATTTAGTGTTCATAAAAATGTTTTAAAACTTTCCTTAGTTCTTTGAGCTTTAAGGTAGAGTGTGAATACTGTCTCTTATGTAAGGGAAACATGGGTCTGTGCTCTGACTTTGCTTCTGTCTGAGGTCCTACACTTTTGGCTGGGAATAAAGTTCCATATCTATGCATTTAAAGCAAACTAATTAATAGTGAATCAAATCCTCTAACCTCTAAAGCTAGGAACTTCTCACTCATATTTTCTTCATTTGCTCAGTGAAAATATTACCTTTCATAAAGCTGCTGTGAGAATCAAAAACTAACTACTTGTATAGTGTCTAGTAGCACAGTTAGGCAATAAGACAGCTCTAATATTATTATTAAACATATGTTAATAATAAAGATTTTTTTTTAAATTACAATCAGAAGCTTACCTTAAGATCACGGTGAACAATGCACTTTTGATGACAATACTGTACAGCAGATACAATCTGGAATAAATATTTGGATAAAAGAGTCAAACTATTAAAAAAAAATTTCCCCAATAATCATCTCCAATTTAGATAAATTACTAACTTGGATTTCAAGGTAGTATTTAATAAATATGCTATGTCTTTAGTTCAGAAAACTATACACATTAAAGCGATGAAATTTTCGCTGTTAAGTGCAGAAAATTTGGAAAAATAATATTCTCTTACTAAAATACAATAAAATATTTCTCTGTCAGAGGCTGTGAAGATGTCATATGGATCATTTATAGTTCTCTGTTTATGTGACTGAATGTGTACAATTTATAGTTTTGGTCAAATGGTTTACTATAGTGTTGAAATAAAAGCTTTGACACACATGAATTACTATTTTAAGATAATTGTCTCAAGTTAAAAAAGCAAAACTCTATTCTAGGAATTACAACAAATGTGTTCAAGGCATGTTTCTTTAGTGAGGCCAATTCACTAAGAACTTATCGATGAGGTATTTAGCAATACCTATATTTATCTATTCATATATAAAGAGAAAGGAAAATTTTTGAGCCTTAAAAAGAAATGTGATCAGCAATAGAAAAGAGGGAAAAATGAAATTCAATCTTAAACCTGTCACTAATTCAGTCAGGTGAAGTATTCTATGCCTGTAACTTGATTTTGTATGCAGCCATAATTTTTAACCATCACACAGAGCTCTTTGGAGACAAGGACTAAACAGAAGGAAGCCAACAGTTTAAAGGCCAAAAGTATGACAGAAATAGATTATAAACAATTCTATGATAGTTCTTTATTACATAAAATACAGAAATAGAATCTGATAGCAATCAATTAAGAACTATTTTTTACATATAATTACATCTGATGAATAGAAGGATGGTCATTTTAATGTACATCAGAACATTCAATTCTGTGAATTCAGTTAAATATAAAAACAGTTTGGATGTTAGGCATTTACAAATGGAGACAAAAATGAGATTTTTTTTTCAAGTATAAAGGTGATGTGAAGTATGACCATGCTAATAGGAATATAGGTGGGAAAAAAAACCTTCAAAGTAGAAGTGAACTGATATTTCAGTATTGTAAAATTATTCTAATGTATATTAAAATGGTTTGAAGAGAGAGAAAACATGAATTCAAAACAAAATAATCAACACACAATGAGTAATATACAATTCCATTTAATTCATTTTGATTCAACAGTTTATTGAGTACCTGCTATGTGCAAGAAAATGTGCTGGTTGCTAGGCAAATACAAAAATGAATACTAATTGGACTCTGTCCTTAAGGCGCTTACAATCTGATTAAGAAGAGAAAATAAGGTATATATTCTCTATATACCTTGTGTTATGGAGGTATATATTATTATATATAGAGGTATATATTATTACCTTTCTATATATTGTATATAGAGAGGTATATATTATTCCCCTATAATACAAGGTAGAAACATAGAACTCTACCTTTTTCAAAGAGTATCATAAAAAATAAAGAATAATTTCAGTTGGAAATGCTTCCTGAAGGAGGTGATATTTGCTCTAAGCCATCCTTGAAGGACAGAAATATTTTAAATTGTGGAGATCTGGAGATGGGGAGGTGGTGAAATGCATTAATGACAGGGGAACTGTTTATTTGAAAAGCAGGTAAGATTCATGCCTGTAATCTCAGCACTTTGGGAGGCTGAAGTGGGAGGATGATCGCTTGAGGCCAGGAGTTCAAGACCAGGCCTTGACAACACAGTGAGACCTCATCTCTACAAAAAATAAAAATGTTAGCTAGGTGTGGTGGTATGCACCTGTGGTCCCAGTTACACAGGTGGCTGAGGCAGGAGGATTTCTTGAGCCTAGGAGGTTGAGGCTGCAGTATGCCATGCTCACACCACTGCACACCTACCTGGATAACAGAGTGAGACCCTGTCTCAAACACAACAAACAAACAAACAAAAAGACCAACAAACCAACCAACCAATCAAACAAACAAAAAACCCCAGAAAACCAAACCAAACAAAAAATCATTTAAAGAAAAGGAGGTGGAAAAATGGTGACAGTGGGAGTCAAATCTTGACAAATAGGTTGGTAAAAGTCAAAACTAGGCAGGTACTACAGAACCACTAGATGTTCTTAGGCAGGGTGACTGGGAATGATTATAATCAATTTGAAGTATGATTCCCAAAAACACAGAAGGATCTAATGATGAACATTTGTAGTATTAGTTTTCTTAAGCAATATGTTTCAAAATTCTAATACCCAATTTTCACTAAATTACGTCCATTAGCCAAAAGACATATACATTTATATGTATATTTTATTAGACATACTATATAGGTTATAGTATGTTCATATTATAAGATTATTTTGTATCACGGGTGACAGAAATTTGCTGATAATGACATTATCTTTTATTAGGCACGTTTGTATGATCCACTGAAGGTATGCGACAGATAATAATTTGGTTATCAAACATGATCAGAGGCCATGCAACTCATGTCAGACAGAATGGTCTCTATGAAAACAGTTCTATATTTACTTCTGGAATCAAACATTTCCTAAGCCTCAAAGCATCAAGAATGGAAAGATAATTACGAAGAATCCTCTGCATTAAGCATGTGTTCTCCCCAAACTCTATGAAGTCTGAGCTATCAGTCAAATGTGGTGGTTTATTATAGTATTAACACAATTGCTTAGCAGGGAACAATTTCTGCCATGAAAGAAGTTCTGCCTTCTGACTCACTGCAAGAATCCCCCTCCACAAGCCCAATTTTTACTGCATTATTTTACAGCTAGACCTTCCAATCTCAAAACATTCTGTACTTCCATAAATAGGATATAGGAACTTCCCTATGAGCCTTCTATTAATGGATCTTGAAAACATGATTTATAGGCAGCTGGGAACTGATGGTAAGACCACACACATCAGTGTTTTCCATTGAGGTGGAGTTATCAGGGTTACTTTGCAATTATTAATACTTATAAGTGGGTCAGGAATCCCCATGCTTGAAGTGGTAGACTTGATATTACAAGAATTGAATCAATATTATGATTTTTTTTTTTTTTTTGGTAGGCTCAAGTCTTAAGGAATTTTGTAAAAGCATTGTATGGGTAATGGCTGCTAAGTGGTCTTAAACTGTCCTAGTGTCTTCAGTATTTCTAAGAGTAAGGTCAAGGACGTATATACATTTATCCTTGTTGACACAGTATTAACACATACTTTCTTTCACTGTTAAAATAAAAAAGAAAATAAAAGTAAATGTATATTCATTAAGTCCGTAAGAGTTTAAATCAAATCCATAAATAAAAATAAGCTCCTCAAAAATAAATTTAAGTGTAAATTTACCTTTAGTCAGGTAACTACAAAATAATGTACGTGTGTGCATATGTGTATGTATGTTTACATATCTCTGGTTTCTAAAAATGAGACTTAGTAACTTTTTTAGTTTTGGGAAAACATATATAGATACTAAATACATTTAAAATTTACAGTAAATAAATAAATTATAAATAAAATATTTCCCATTGTTTTACAATTTAAATAGCATTCATCGGGCATTCAGTCTCTGCAATGTAAAGAATATGAAGATGATTTCAAAATATTACAGATTTTATTTCAAAAACCATGCCAATTTTAGTAATTATTTGTATCTGTAAAAATATCTATGTCCCAACCTCCTATCCTGCTCTCGCTTACCAGCAAAGTTGGAAAGCTCTTTAAAATAGCAGGCATTTCCAACTTCTCTAATTCCATATAGTACCCCATACAATTTTCTACATCTACCAAAAAATAAGTAAAACAAGGTGCCTAAAAAAGTAAGAGTAAGTAGCAATAATCTCTAAAATATACATTAGGATTCCAATGGGAATATTTAATGCAAACTGGAACTTTCTTGCTGGTCTGCTACTAACAAAAGCTACTGTGACTGATATTAAATGAATAATATATAAAATGATGTGTGTGGCTGTGTGCAGTGGCTCACACCTGTAATCCCAGCACTATGGGAGGCTGAGGTGGACAGATTACCTGAGGTCAGGAGTTCAAGACCAGCCTGGCCAACATGGTGAAACCCCTTCTCTACTAAAAATACAAAAATTAGCTGGGAGTGGTGTTCTGTGCCTGTAATCCCAGCTACTTGGGAGGCTGAGGTAGGAGAATCACTTGAACCCAAGAGGTGGAGGTTACAGTGAGACGAAATAGCACCACTGCACTCCAGCCTAGGTGACAGAGCAAGACTCCGTCTCAATAAATAAATAAATAAATAAATAAATACATGTCAAGACAGCTGAATAGGAACAGTTCCGGTCTGTAGCTCCCAGCGTGATCGATGCAGAAGACGGGTGATTTCTGCATTTCCAATGGAGGTACCTGGTTCATCTCATTGGGACTGGTTGGACAGTGGGTACAGCCCACAGAGGGCGAGCTGAAGCAGGGCAGGGAGTCGCCTCACCTGGGAAGCACAAGGGGTCGGAGTATTTCCCTTTTCTAACCAAGGGAAGCCATGACAGACTACCTGAAGAAACGGGACACTCCCCGCCCAAATACTGCGCTTTTCCAAGGTCTTAGCAACCAGCAGACAAGGTGATTCTCTCCCATGCCTGGCATGGCACGTCCTATGTCCATGGAGTCTTGCTCACTGCTAGTGCAGCAGTCTGAGATCCATCTGTGAGGCAGCAGCCTGGCTGAGGGAGGGGCATTCGCAAATGCTGAGGCTTGAGTAGGTAAACAAAGCAGCCAGGAAGCTTGAACTGGGTGGAGCCAACTGCAGCTCAACAAGGCCTACTGCCTCTAGACTCCACCTCTGTGGGCAGGGCAGGACATAGCTGAACAAAAGGTAGCAGGCAACTTCTGCAGACTTAAACGTCCCTGTCTGACAGCTCTGAAGAGAGCAGTGGTTCTCCCAGCACAGCGTCTAAGCTCTGAGAAAGGACAGACTGCCTCCTCAAGTGGGTCCCTGACCCCCGTGTAGCCTAACTGGGAGACACCTCCCAGTAGGGGCTGACAGACACCTCATATAGGCAGCT